GGGGGGGGGGGGGGGGGGGGGGGGGGGGGGGGTAATAATTTTTGGAAAGCATAAGTGTTCCCTCAAAGGCATGATATTTAATTGAAATGGATAAAATGTTTAAGATATAAATGATTGTTAATATTAATGATTAGATTATGGTATATTAGCGAAACTTTTTGTGAAATGAGAGATTTGAAGTAGAAGAAGGAGGAACATCGTAATGAAATAATGAGCTATAATATGTGAGGTGGGGGGGGAATAATTATGGAAAATAGGTCTTCCCATAAAAGTATGTGATTTAACTGAAAAGTAATGTGTTAGATGTTTAAGATATAAATGAATATCAATATTAATGAATAGATTTGTATTATTTTTGATAATATAGTATAATTTTAGAATGTACCAGACAGAATCCCAATGTAAGTTATGTGTTTTATATTAAGTATTATAAATATAGGGGAAGGAGATAAAGGCATCATACTCCATTTAGTGTACAGGAGAAGTTTTTCTTCTTTTTTAAAGAAGAAAAATAAATGGATGGTTGGAAATAGAACAGACAAAGAATAATAAATATTATGATTCGAATTGAGAGGAGATAAATAAAATAAAATTGAGAAAATTTAAAAGTGAGGAGAAGTTATATAGAAAATTGAAAATGTTAATAAGATATGAAATGGTATGTAAAATGAATATGAATTTGAATTTGTGTCTGTGCCAAGAGTTATAACCCGGGACTAAGCAACTTTCAGAAAAGAGATTGTTTATGTTTTTATGTTTTGTGTTTTTGTGTATCTATGTTTTGTATGTCTTTAAAAATTAATAAAATTTGGTTTAAAAAAAAACAACACTCCTAAACTGAAGAACATTCCAACTGCAACATGGCTCATACTGCATTTTGTGGAGGTGACCTAACCTTGAAAAGGGCTATATCATGGCATAATGGTTTCAGTTCAGCATGTCATATAAATGGAGAGTCGTGTCGAAGGAATTCATGAAGTTTACAAACATAGAGTAGAACAGCGTCCCCCAATCTTTTCAGCTCATGGTGGAGACAGCGGCAGTGGTGGAGAGGGGAGTGGTTTTGCGCGCATGCACCCTCACCCACCACTTCCATGGCCCAGTTTCGAATGGGCTGAGAACCACAGACTGGCATTTGGGGATCCCTGAAATAGAAAGCAATAGCTCTCTTCCACATATCGCTAGCTGGTCTATGAAGGGCACTGTCTGTGATTCATGCTGGAGCACGTCCAAATAGCCTGATTCTTCTCATGTTTGTCTAGTCCAGAACTGCTGACCTAGCCACATCTGATGACAGCAGATTTCATAGCTTAACAATGCATTGTGTAAAATATTTTCTTTTACTACTTCTGACTTGCTTGCATTGTTTTTTAATAGATGAGTCAGAGTTGAGGCCAGGGGGCAGGGCACATCCACTATGTACATTTTCTGTGATGTATGATATACATCTACCATCTCTATTTTTTCCTGCTTCTGCTCAAAGTTAAAAGCAAGCATTCACCCAGCTTGAAGTGTTCCCTTAGGGTTTCATTGCAATTCTTATTTTATTTACAATCCAGGGCAATATGGGATCATTAGTAAACCTACCCAATTCATTGCTCACTCTTTAGTATAGCTCTTTTACAATCACCCCCCAAAGTCCACGCTTGAACAACTCTTGCAGAACAACTCATGCAGAACAACTCTTCCATTTGAAATTGTTAATTTATCCCTGTCTTCTACTTCGAGGTTTTGGGGACTTATTCTTTTATTCCAGAGCTGCTGTATTTATTCAGTAGTCTTTGAAGAATGATTTTACCATTTTTTTTAAAGTTCATGTACACAACATTAATAAAATGTTGTGCCCATGTATACAGTGTTGAGTTAAAAGAAATCTGAATTCACAAGGCAAGAAAAAGCTTAAATGGTCCCTTCTCTGCAAAGGGACTTCCGGTTTGAGCTTTTTCGGCGAAGGACCGAAATCCGCGATTGTGCACAATTTCTATCTGTGCTCGCCACCGGAGAGCCCAAGCCGGCTGGTTTCGGGCAAAAGCCACCCTGTAGAGATGGTGAAGAAGGGGGAGACCGCCAGCAGGGTCGAGGAGAGCTGCATCTCTCCTCCCCAGCTGGCCATTACTCCCTTTCCCGAAGGCGGTTGCAGCGGTGGTCAGAAATGGCCACCTCAAAGTAGGCTGATTCTGTAAACTGCTTAGAGAGGGCTATAAAGTGCTATTGCTATTATGCCTCCAAATTTTCTGTGCCCTCACCATCCATTTTCAAAATCAAAGTGATGCTGATTATTTTTCATTCCTTGGGAGCAAACACTAATGTTAATAATGTTAGATCAGTAATTTTACTTTTTAATTAAGAATCCTCAGATGACTGTCATGGTAGAATATGTTATTTCTAATTGGGTTTTTTTCTTTTTAACCTTTGTTCTGATAAATCTTATTTTCCTCTTGAAATCAGGATCTTGTTTCCAGTTCAATAACTTCTAAGTCATGGATGAGATCAATCTACATGTAATCATAAATGCAAAGGCTTTTTTGTGTCCTTGTAATGCAGAAAAATGTGGATCCGGGCAGGGATTTAATATTTAAAGTGAAATTTGTTGCTAACAATATAGCACAAGCTTCAGAGATATATTTTAAAAACTTAGAGTGAGTAAGTGGGGTAGGAGGCAGGAGATGCGGCAGGCAGAAGTGATTACCCATGATAACATACATAGATATTTGTAGACCTAACTGTGCTGAAGACCATTATCTTCATGACCCGTTGACCAAGGGAACAAATTAATAGGGCATTGATGAGTGCTCTGCTTCTGGAACTGCAGGCAGCAGACCTTGAAATATCAGCTGCAAAGAGGAAGATAAAAGCTGCCAAATCTCTGTAACGAGCATGGCTACTTACAGATTTGGCATAAGGGAAAAGATAATTTTCTGTGGTTTCTGGTGGATCCAAAATAAAGTAAACATTATGTATCCCTGTAGAGCAGGGGTGTCAAACTCACAGCCCACAGGCCGGATTCGTCACACACTGGCCACGACCACCCAATCTGTACTTCTGGTGGTTGACTGCTGTCAAAATTTGTGACCTGTTTTTAGAGATTTCAGGCGAATCCGATCCACATTTTATGCCACACTGATGTTAAAAGTTGCTAGCTGCCAAGTTATTTGGAACTTGATCTATAAACGTGGAATTTTTTGTGAGTCACAGCATATTTGAATCTTTGGGGTTGTGTCATAGTGATGTCATTAACTGTTGGGGATTGTGGTGACTCATTCTTTGCAAATGCAGCCTTTGATTTTAAGATTTCATGCGAATGCCTCACAGTTAACAGGATCTGTACTTGGACCTGTTTTTGCACCATGGCAGAGCTAACAATGATTAGATCCAATAGCTAAGATAAAACCCATATGAGCAGACATAATCTATTATTTGATTATGGCTCCAGGGGAGTTCCAGGTTAAAATATGAAACCAGTATATTTTCCATGCTTGATCTTTGAGGCCCCCAACCTTATTCGCCTGAGGCATTTATGCATTTTGGCGAGGGAGGGGCACCCTGATGCCATTTCTGGACAACGAGATATTCGCCAAAAGGCCAAGAGAAACGACAGCAGGTTGCCTCAAAACAGCAAGACAGACAGACACACACACCAAATCTAAGTGGAGCTTTCCAGACACTTCGAACTACAACTCCCAGGATCTCGCGTCGTCGGGAACCGTGTGCTGGGTGTTAACTTGCAAACTATCTGGAAGGCACCAGGTGACCTCCAGGAAAGGGGAGGGCACCTCCCCAAACCAAACGACGCACAGGTGAGGGTCGATAAAACAATTCCCCCGGGGGAAGACTCGTCTTCCCTCTGCCTCCTCCCTCCGTGTCACGTGGTTGCAAGAGAGCCGCCTCCTGCTCCCGGCGCGGAGGCGTGAAGGAGTTGGGAGCTGCTTCCTTCGTGTCGCGGTGGCTCAGCTGCGGCCGGGCGGCTGCGCTCCCGCCGTTTGGCCGTTCTTCTTCGCCCGCAATATGCCTCCGCTGCTCTCCGGCTGCCCGCCATGCCTGGGATTCGCGGGCGTCCGCCGACCTCCTCGCTGCTGGGATTGGCCGCCGCGACGTTTTTCCTCCTCTTGCTGCTGAAGAGCCGCCCGGGCTCCGCGGCCGCCACCAGCGCCGTCGGCTTAACCAGGCGTCCTCAGCAGCGGGCCGGCTTATCGACACCGCCTTCCTCCATGGCTGCTCCAGGTAGGTGCTGTCTTTTCAGCCCTGGAGGTTGGCCAAAGGTTTTCTTCCCTGCGACCCAAACGCCGCCAGCATTTGGCTTTGAATGGCATCCTCGGCGTCCCATTGCACCGTTCGGATGCCTGGGGCATTGCGAGGGATGTTTCTCCCTCCCTTCCTCCCTCCAGCCATTCCCTTTCCTTTAGATCTGCTTCGGTCCTCTCTTCATTTGATTCCTCGGCAAGCAGTAGTTCGCGCTTCCTTTTTCCCTTGTAGGATTTGGCTTTCCTCTAGGATGGCGGATGGCTGTCTGGCGCTTGGAAGGCTGGATGGATGCGCGAGGCTTGCAGAGGATCAGAGAGCATCTACTCGTTCCTGGGGCCCTCTGTCCTCCGTCCCGCAATTATGTAAACGGCCTCCTTGTTTTCTGACAGTTTGCGGCCATCTCGGCCCTTTTCCCCGTCGCCTTTTCCCCGTCGCATCCTTTGCCTCAGATCCATCTCAGTGCTTGCCTTTAGGTGGATGGGTAAGGCCAGGAAGCTAGAGTTAATTTTTCTTCAGTTTAAAAAAAATGAAAAAGAAATCAAGCCCGGAGAGGGCGATCTTCATCAAAAGGTTCCACGATTTTTAGAAAGGGTTGTTGTTTCTTCCCTAGGTAGGGAAATGAGGTTGGCTTCTAGTGGGGAGGATTGTAATAGTGTAGTAGCATAAACCTTCTCTGTCCCAAAATGCTCCCTGTCTGGAGAATGTGCCTTTTTTTTTTTTTTTTAATCTGCCACCTTATTTTTATCTCTTCTAGGTAAACCTTCTTTTCCCTTTAGCTTGCTTCCATTCCCCCTCAATTTGTGGTTGCAGACAGCTTTTCCCCAGGTAGTAGATGCCTAAGCTTTTCCTTTGAGTCTGGCAGGCTCCCCTTTTCTCAGGGGGATTACATTAGACCACATGTGTCACTTGTTATTTATGGATAGGGTTGCTGGGGAGGGGTCTTGACCACTGTGTGCTTAAGGAAGCGTCTTCCTTGCCTCTTGGGAGGTGAGAATTAGCCCTCCAGTTGCTCTTTCTTCCCCACTGCTGGGTTTTTAATGGCTCCAGAAGAGCAGCTGCAGCTCTACTTTAAAGGGAATATAAAAGCAGCTCCTTTGGCATATGGCGACTTGATTGTCTTTTGCAATTCCCCTGTAACCACTGAAAGGAAAATATTTTATTCTTTCTTGTACAAGATGTCTCCCATTTGTAGGCTGGGGTCCATAATTTAAACAGAGCTTTGGAGGTTTTTTTTACATATCAAAATTGTGTTTTGTCTGTATGTAGATACCATTTACAGTTCTACATTAATGCAAATGCTGGCATTTGAATGTGCTGTTAGGCAACTCCATTTTCTGCTTTCATTGGGCATTGGTTCAAATGATGCCATGCATGACACATCCAGCCAGGAGTGTAGGTATCCAGTGATCTGTGACTGCATCTTTGGTGGTTTAATAGTTTAATTTACAAAATAAGTGTTGGCTTGTGACATTGCCTATAATTTTTTATGATAAAGGTGGGTTTTTTTCTTCTTCCTATTCAGAGTGTACTTTGCTGGCTCTTTTTCTCTTAAGTCTTCAAATATATCATTTTGTGTTATCCTTTCCAAGATAAGTGGTGGCTTTGCAATGTATTTTGTATGCCACTTGAAAGTGGTCTTTAGTTTGTAAGATAATAGTGAACATGTCTTAAAAGTAAGTATATCCTGGCTATAAAGACTAATCTGTATTTTATCTTCCTTCTGATACGAATCTATAAGCTCATTTGTTTTACAGTGCTTAAACAAGGAGTGCACACTTTCTGCCCTCCCCATATGTATACCTTCCTGCCAATAGTGAGTACCATGTTCCGTAGGAAGATTCTGAAATCAATCTTGCTTTGCAGATTCTCCTCATTATAGTTGTGTTAGGAAAGAATTGGTACTCGTTGTATTATGAAGCCTTATTTTTAATGTTTGGATCAGGACTACTTGAAGTTAGCAGCTCATCATTTATGTCTTTAGCATCATGTTAATTCAGTGTAGCTTGAATATAGAGAGAGTCAAGAATACATTTTTTCTTTATGGAAATATGACTCTATAGTTAAGCAGCATCCATGTGAAAGATATAGTGATATGATTAAGTGAAGCTGGAGTTTTTAATAAGATTAAGATTGAGAGATAATTTTGATCCACATTTTTATGCATTTTTATTGTATGAGGTTCAGGATGTGGAACAGGGGAATACTTGAAGATAATCTGAAAATAATACAACAACATTTTATATTGAATACATATATATTTGGAAAGAGAAAAGAAATCCAGAAGAATCCTAGTAGAGGTGAAATAAGTTAATACATTTGTAAAAATTATGCGTGAAATTGTTTATTGCAGAAATGTTTATGAACATGTCACGTTTTATTCTGAAATGTTATTCAGAAAAGCAAAAGCAGCTCAAAATATTGTGTAGAAGAAGTATTTTTTTAATGGAAATAGAAGTATCTGATCAAGAGCCTTTTAAAATAAGATGTGAGGACACAGATTATGATACAGAATTTGGTGTAATAATTATCTATTTAGATATACAGTATAATAGATACAGGGGTGGGATTCTACCAGTTCGCACCTATTCGCCAGAACCGGTTAACATTCTAACCAGTTCGGAGAACCGGTTGTTAGAAGAAATTATTGGCCTAATCCTGTAAGGAAGGCAGAAAGGAAACATTCTGGTGTTGCTTACAGAAACTGCCTCTCCGTTAACCCTTGTTACATTCTTGGCAGGACTAGACTTCCTATCTCAGGAACGTCTCTGGAATTTTTCCCCCCTCCTTTGCTGGTACTTTGCTTGTGTGGAGTTACAATTCAAAGTTACAATGGCACTGAAAAAAGTGACTTATGACCATTTTTCACACTTACGACTGTTGCAGCATCCCCACAGTCATGAGAGGCCAGGCGAGGAGATGCATGCCTCGATGTGACTGATATTGAGTTGGCCACACCCAGCCAATAACATGATAACCAAGCCATGCCCACAGAACTGGTTGTTAAAACATTTGAATCCCATCCCTGAATAGATATCATACAACGAGTAGTATGCAAGTCATAATGCTTCAAGAATGATAAACAAATATAAGAAAAAATGGAGATCCCAGAAAACAGCCTGAGGAATGAAGACATGGAATGTCATCATTGGAATCAAGAGAGGAAAAAGTTCATTTGAGACTGAGAATAATTTTGAAACAACCTTGGGAAGGCACTAAGGAGAGGACTGTCAAAATTCTAACATAATTTATGGTATGGAAAGGAGAAGATGTGAACACAGAAATGGACAGGGTGCTCCAGATCCAGCACATGGCCAGGAAGGTGACAAGAGATCAAGTTATACAACAGTAATTTAATATAAAGATAATTCTACCCAAAGAAGCTTCTATTAGAAGATACTTGACAAGGAAAGAATGCAAAATTGTTTTGTTTGATCAGGGATAAAATAAGTACCTTTATAAATGTTGAAAACCCTTAATTGACTGCCCCCCCCCCAAAAAAAAAAACAGTTAATATGCCTTGGGTGATTTTTGCTTTTCTTAATTAAAAAGGATTGAATATAGTAAGGTATGTATGGAAGCTAAAAGAGGAGGAGAGAAAATAAGGTTACTTGTGACTACTGTAGAGAAGAATGGAAGTCATCCTTTATATAATCTTTTTCTTTTCTGCTTTACCTTTTTCCCCTAACTGTTTTATATGTATTTTTTTCTTTTATTCATCTACATTTTTTTTCATTGAAAACTATAAGGAAAAATGATTTACACAGGAATTCTGTATATGACCAAATCTATTATCATACCAAATACCAGAAGACACCTGTGTTTTCATACAGTAACAAGAAGAAAGAGACAACTAGGCAGGGTGTGTAACTCTTGTTTCTACTTGTTTCCTTGCCTTAATTAATCATAGTTTTGCTAGAGGCACTATATTTCTCTACCATATTCACGCTCAGGAGATTAGTCTTGAGAATTGATCCTATAGAATAGGACTAGGAGATTGCTTTACATTTTAAGAACAAAAGAAAAATGTCATGACCAAACTTCCTCAGCTTCAATATGCAAAATATAGAATAAGAGAATAAACAACAAATTATAACAAATAATAAATAATACATTTCATGAATAAGAGAAGGATTTGAACCCAGATGTCCTTGGTCAAAATTCAACACGTAATTGGTTTGACTAGCTATATTGGATAGCAGCTTCCATAATACTCAATCTCAGTTGGGCACTCTAGTTCAGGGGTCGCCAACCTTTTGGACCTCAGGGACCACCAAACTCCTAATTTTAGATCCCAGGGACCACTAACTGGTTCTGAGGGCATGGCCTAATTTGTGGGTGTGGCTTGGTCGTGTGACTGGCTGGGCATGGCTTGTATGTAAATATAAATATTTATATAAATATTTATATAAATATTGAATTTTTTTTATAAAAAAAAGAGCAACTTTTACCCAAAATCAGGCAAAGCAGGCAGGCAGATTGACTTGCTCACAGAATCACAGATGCATTCAGAAATCTATCTATCTGCCATTGGCTAGTTCAATCTGTCACATAAAATTTGCTTGCAAGCAAACTCATAAAATTTGCCAGCAAGCTAACCCACAAAATTAACTCACAACACCCCATGCATGTAAATATTGAATTTTTTATTTAAAAAAAGAGCAACTTTTACCCAAAATCAGGTAAAGCAGGCAGGCAGATTGAGTTGCTCACAGAATCATTCAGTGATCTATCTATCTGCCATTGGCTAGCTCAGTCTCTCAAATTTGCTTGCCGTGAGTCTGCACTGAATTTGCTTGCAAGCGAACCTTCAGTCCTAAGGGAAGCAAAGCTGAAGATCTAAAGACTAGCTTGAAAGCAAGAGATCCAATCATTTTCTGCTTCCTAGCTAATCTAAATCTCCCGGCACAGCAGAACAGATGATGGTCGGAAAAAGGAAAAATAGCAATTTTAGCAGGCAAGTTTGCCGGGTAAGGAGTGAG